GAGACCCAGGATCACAAACTCACATCTATCCAACCAAATATGTTAGCTCTATCTCTGATATTGAGCGCTTTCTAATAAGTACCGCGCATATAATATATAAATAATTATATATATACATATTTAATTATAATTATATACACACACATATTTTTATATATATATATATATATATATATATATATATATATATGTATGTATTTATATATTTTTAAATATAAATGACAATAGCAAAATTCTTGTAGTTACTAACGCGTTTCGTCCAATATCGACTTTCTCAAAGCAAAAAAAAAAAAAAAAAAAAGAAATGAGAAAGTCCATATTGGAGGAAGCGCGTTAGTAACTACAACAATTTTCCTATTGTCATTTATATTTAAAAATATTCTCTCTTTTTAGAGGTTAACGCTGAGAATTTTTTCATATATATATATATATATATATATATATACACACACATTTCATTGAAAACGACAGACAAGGTGAATTTATTTAGTTTTTTATACAATTTCTCATGGGATCTAATTTTTTTTTCTTTTTGGATGATAAATTATATAAAAACTGTCCGAATGTTCCTTTTATCCGAGCGCTTTCGGCTATACATTTAGCCATTTTCAATGATTATATTTTAACTGTTAAAAAAAGAAATAGTTTGTTGTATGTATGTTTTATAAAATGTTTTCATTTTTTTTTTTTTCAAAACACGGTCAAGATATTATGTCCATGTTCAAAGTTTATATTATTAAGTGTTGGTTTGTTTGTTTTTATTAATAAAGCTTCCATTATTTTTAGCCTTTTTTTTACATGTAGATGATACTATTATATTTGTGTTGTCAACAAGTATGTTACGTATAGTGTCCGGTAGGTCTCCATGAATATTTAAATGAGATCTAACTGAGCTATGATTAGAAAAGTGTAGAGTGAGTCTGCGTGTCAAACATGTTGTAGTGTGGCCTATATAATTATTTACGAATTTTGATTGATCAGGAATACAATTCCTTAATGGGCATTTAAATTCGTAAATAATATTTGCTCTATTTAATTTAATTCTAAGAGGTGAATTATTATTTTTAACTATAAGGTTAGAGGTTTTAAATTTTTTGTAATAAATTATTTAATTTTTTTCCTATTGTCAACTGGTGTTATGCATTTTTTATAATGTTCTTAATTCTGCATTCATCCTGATAATAATTTTCGTTCATCTGATTTTTATAATAAAATATTAATATTATTGTTTATGTTTCTATTCTCGCCGTTGCTATTAGCTACCTTAGACAGAAAACGCCTAATGTGGAAATCCAACAATTGATTTGGAAATCCGTTATTAAAATCAGCGTTTGCTTTACATTGTTTAATTCTTTAAAGAAAATCGTGCGAGAGAATGAGTTCTTGTGCGCTCTCGTGAGGAAATTTTTAGTAGCACTTATTTTATATCTAAGAGGGCATTCACTAGAGAAATTAAAATGGCAAGAGTCTTTACTAGTTGTTTTTTTAAACAGAAGTTTTAAAAGTATTATTACTAAAATCGTTTTCAATGAAATGTGCCTGAAAGAAGGATTGCTGCCTAAATACACACGCACACACACATATATATATATATTAATTTTTGTATTCGTTAATGCTTTCTGTCTATCTTTTAGTTTTCATTTACTGTCTTCTTTCGATTTCATTTCTCTTTTATTTATTATTTCATCTTTTTATTTTATTTTTCCAATTCTTTCATGGTTTCTCTGTAGCTTTCAGTATACAGAATATAATTTCTTTTTTCTATTGTTTTGTCCACAGAATCTCTAATGTGGCGTTTGAAACCATTTTTGATTTCTTTGACTGAATTCTGTTCTGAGTCGATCGATAGAAATCAGTTGAGAATTCCCATCAGCCGCGTCACTCATTTCATTTTTGCGAATAAACATCATACATTTTATATTCAGAGACAAGAAAGCCTCATGCTTCTTGGTCTGTAAGCCTTTGATCTGAACCCTTGCCAGCACCTTCAGAATTTTCTATTATTTATATTGATCATATTAGTGTTTTCCTTTAAGCAAAGCTTTGATGAAATAGTTTTACTTCTTCTTGAGAAACTGCTCATGTAACTACGGTGGTTTTTTTTTTTAAAGATAGATGAAACGAATAAAAAAAGAAAAGAATTTGATAACTCTTTTATTTGCTGCTATTTTCCCAACGTATTAAACAACAAAAAAAGGTTTTATCAGTATGCGTTTTTAAAGCAGACTTTACTGAAACTACTAAATGTCTAGTGACTTCCTTTTCCTTTAAGAGCATCGTGTTTTCACAGTACTGATAGCAGACACGAAAAAGAAATGACAAAACCTTCTCCATGACGTAGCGAAGGATAGCGAGAATCGACTAAGCATAAACGGCAAGAAGACATAATGCAAGGTCATCAGTAAAAGGAAGAGCTCGAAATGAAGTTATAGGTGGGGGAAACTAAAATCAAGCTAGAGCGGAAATTTAAATATCTGGGAAGTGTTCTAACAGAGAATGGTAATTACGACACTGAGATCCGAAGACGTATTGGGATGGCCAAAGAAGCATTCCAAAAGCTAAGCAGAGAATTAAGAGACAGGAAAGTTTCTTTAGAAACAAAGAAAAGAGTACTGGACTGTTACGTAATATCAGTCCTTCTATATGGCAGTGAATGCAGGACAATCTCTTCAAAGATGAAGAAGAGATTTAAGGTTTTGAAGAGAATGGAGACAGTGATCAGGAAGAGGCATCTGAAATTTCTGGGGCACGTAATGAGGAAGGAAGGCTTGGAAAATCTGATGCTCACAGGATAGAGAGCGGGAAAGTGGAAGAGTCGAAAACAACGCTTGACATACTTAATGTGCTTGAGCAAGTAGATGGTAGAACAGAATCTGGAAGAAATAAGAAAAAGGTAAAAATTAATTAAGAGCTACAAGAGACAGGAAGAGATGGAGGGCTATGATCGCCCAAGTCCTGAAGGGACACGACGCATAAAAGAAGAAGAAGGTCGGGTTTAATTTAATTTGCAATTTCTCAAAAGATAAATTCCGCTAAAAAAGCTTATACCGTACGGAATAAATGATTTAAAATGGACATTTATATCAGTAAGTTGATATAAAAATGTGTTCTTTAAAAAAAGAGGGCATACATGTCATTAGATTTTTAATAAAATTAAAGCAAGAAATACATTGTCTATTAAGTATGTCTCTAGCTTCGATCTGGTTCAGACCTACTCAGCCCGACTAGTCACATTAATTTTATTTCATTCTTTTTTTTACTTACATTCTTTGTTTAATTTTTTTCTTTAATTCTTTTTTCTTCTTTATTATGAACAATATCAACAAAATGTATTTCGGTCAATATTTTGAGGCAGGGAGTTTAAACAATTAATTTTGGATTGAACCGAAGTCAAGAACAAAAAACGGCGCTTTTACGAATTTTTTTTTTTTTTGCTTTGAAATTGATATACTTGAATGTTGAATGTCGCCACTTATATATATATATATATATATATATATATATATATATATATATATATCTAATTTTCTAACATTACTCATAATTAAACATCAAGAAGAGGCTGCTGAAATTTCTGATGAGAAAGGAGGGCTTGGGAAATCTGATACTCACAGGGCGGATAGAGGGAAAGTGGGCCAAGGGAAAGCAATGCGTGACATACTTAACAGGCTTAAGCAAGTGGTTGGCAGAACAAGGTCTGGGAGAAATAACGAAAAGTCAAAGCTTATTGTGAGCTACGAGGGACAGGAGGAGGTGGAGGGCCATGATCGCCTAAGGCTTGAAGGGACATGGCACATAAAAGAAGAAGGTCGGATTAAATTTAATTTGCAATTTCTCAAAAGATACATTCCTCTAAAAAAAACAACACTTTTCTGTACGGAATAAATCATTTAAAATGGACATTTAAAAACAGTACTTGGAAATAAAAGTTTTTGACTAGTAATAAAGACAGAATGCATGGGCATCAGTAAAAGGATGAGCCCTAAATGCGATCTGCAGGTCGGGGGCACTAATATCAAGCAGGTGTGGAAATTTAAATACCTGGGGAGTGCTCTGACAGAGGACGGTAAATGCCACGCTGAGATCTGAAGACGTATTGGGATGGTCAAAGACGTATTCCAAAAGCTAGACAGAATATTACAAGACAAGAGAATTTCTTTGGAAACAAAGAAAATAGTACTGAACTGCTATGTGACATCTATCCTCCTTAACGGCAGCGAATGTTGGACGGTTTCCTCAAAGATGAGGTTCAAGGCAAAGGAGGTATGGTTCTACAGAAGGATGCTGAGGATATCATAGACCGAGCGTGTGTGCAACTATTTGAAGATAATGCAAACAAGGAGGAAACTTATACTTTATACCAGGAAGAAGCAGATGAAATTTCTGGGACACGTAATGAGAAAGAAGGTTTGGAGAATCTGATACTCTCAGGTCGAAAAGAGTGAGAGAGAGAGAGAAGGGAAAACAACGTATGATATACCTAGCGGCCTTAAGCAAGTGGGTGACAGAACATAGCCTGGGGGAAGTAGCAAAGGGACAAACATATTGAGAGGTACACGGGATAGGGAGAAGTGGAGGGCCATGATCCTGAGAGGATACGGTACATAAAATGAAAAGAAGACGAAATTTACCATCTACCTGCGTCTGTGTTATCTACATGGACTTAACACTGACAAATGAGCTGGCACGTCTTTTGTACAGTTTTATATACGAATGAAACAGAAGTCTCCCACAAAGATCAAGAGAGAGAAAGTATGTCGCTATATGTAATATTTGTTAGATTGTTAAATAGAGATAAAATATTATTTTGTGTGAATCCTGTTTTTAGATGATAGTTGAATTTGCAACTTTTTTTTAATCGTCGACGCTTCGAATTTATTTGTCTCAAAGCGACTGTGGCGCCACTGACAGAGAAGGAGGCGCTCTAATAGGATCGATCAATGATTTATTGATTTTATCCACTTCCTTGCAGAGCTGAGAGCGATGCGGCTATTGTCGATATGCATCGCTTGACGGCTGGCGCCTCTATTAAGTTTAATGTAGTCATTGATCCTAACTTGTTAACCATCACCCTATACTAGACGGCTGAACAGTTATTTTAAATTTTATAACAGTAGACGATTAATTCGTTTGTTTTCGGTTTTCTTTTTTATATCTTTATAGTCTAAATAGATTTCTATTTTTTGAACTCATCTCCAACCCACAGTCACTATAAACACGGAAAAGGTCTGCTGTAAATATCCGAACGAAATTGAAAAAAATGCTTACGCCATTCTGATTGCAAATCGTCATACATTCACAAAAACAGAAAACATAATCGTATCTTTTTCATTTTATTGTTTTTTTTTCAAATAATAAAGATAAGATTAATAGACGAAACTAAAACATAAAACTCGAGCCATGTTTTTAAATAGCCTCGAAAGATCGAGATATTCAGATGTCAAACATGGCGCCAAACCTGTTCAGAAATATCTAAACTGTCAGTTGTATACAACCGCTTTCTAAGATTCATGATGAAAAAAGGTTTTGAGTGACTAAAGCTTGAGGGTCTTGGCAAAGATAACCAGTCTTTGAACATTTTGGACTGGCGCTACAGAATCACAAACAAAGAACTCTACTAAATAACGGATACCACATCACTTGAAGACTACCAACATCAGCAACAACTAAAATGGATAGCACATGTAACCGGAAGAATAAATAAGCACATAATAAAAATGTTAATATTCCACACCACTTCAAATAGATGATTCGGAAGATCCCCCACCTAAACAATAAATGGGACTTAAGATAAACCTTTCCCAAACAGAAAGTATGGCTGGAATTGGAATGAAAACACCGACTCTGAATCCATGATAAAAATTCACGATGTGGAATTATTAAATACTAAACACTTCGGTTTCTTTGGCGTGTGGATCATCTGTAACAAATTAAGCGTAGGAGAAAAGGAAACGGAACCCAGACTAGGCTGTGCCAGATATAGTTTCACACAACACCGGAAATTGTTACATAACCAAAACATCAAACTTAAAACTCGAGTCATGTTCTGAACTAGCCTCGTCAAATCGAGACTTTTATATGGATGTCATGCATGGCACCAAATCAGTTCAGAAATATCTAAACTGTTAGTTGTATACAACTGCTTTCTAAGATTAATGGCAAAAAAAAGGCTTTCAGTGACTAAAGCCTGGGGGTCTTGGCAAAGATCATCCTTCTTCGAACATTGTGGACAGGGGTGACAAAATCACAAAAAGAGCTGCATCGAGTAACAGAAATCACATCACTGGAGGACTACCAACAGCAGCAACAACTAAAATGGATAGCACATATAACTCGAAGAGAAAATAATGACATAATTAAGAGGTGAACATTCCACACCATTTCAAACAGAAGTTTCGGAATGAAATGTCCATCAATACTGGAAAGAGTGGTAAAACTGACGGCACTTGAGAAAGCTGTTTTCTAACAAAAATCACCCGAAAACAGCACTGGCTTCTCGGTCAATGAATGCCAAATGTTTCCTTATAGGGAAATGGTTAATATTACCATTATCCGTCTATGAGTGCATAAATCATAATGAATATTTAAGTGCGTGCATTTAGTTGTCTACATCGGTATCTCTCTGTCTATCTATCTATCTATCTATCTATCTATCTATCTATCTATCTATCAATTTTTTTTATATCTATCTATTTATCTATGAGTGCATAAGTCATAATGCATATTTAAGCGCGTGTATTTAGTTGTATGCATCGGTGTTTATCTATCTATCTATCTATCTATCTATCTATCTATCTATCTATCTATCTATCTTTTCTTTCCAGCAGGTCATCCCATAAGTTCTGTCCGAATTTTGAATAAAGAAAACAAGTGACCAAATGTTACATTTAATTACAGATTCAATCAACAATGTATTTTCCCTGATTATAGATGACTTCGTTCCATCTATTAACAAGCTTATTAATTCCATTACTGTAAAATTCTTTTTGATTGAAGAACTCACAAATGTCAGTTTTAACCTCTTCCTGTGTTACAAAAGCTGTTTCGTCCAAATGATTCTGTAAGCTACGAAACAAATGGTAGTCTGAAGGAGCAAGATCGGGAGAATAAGGTGGATGAGGAATTTTCTCCCAACCAAGTTCTTCGATCTTTTGTGACGTGATTCTTGCTGTGTGGAGTCGCGCATTGTCCTGATGAAACATCACCTCTTTACGATTCACTAGAGTAGGTCTTTTTTTCCTCAAAGCTTGGTTCAAATGCTTTAATTTCTGGCAGTATATTTGAGCATTAATTGTTGCATTAGGTGGTATGAATTCAAAGTGGATTATTCTTTAGCGATCCCACCAGATTGAAAGAAGAACCTTTTGCCCATGAAGTTCCCTCCTCGGCTGTGGCTGGGGTCTTTCCCCTTTACCAAGTCACTGTCTACGACGCTTAACATTTCGATAAAAGATCCATTTTTCGTCGCCAGTCACAAGTCTATCCAAAAAAGGTGAAACAAGTTGGCGATAATGGAGAGAAGAGCAGATGTCAATTCGGGATTTGAGGTTGTTTTCAGACAATTCATGAGGCACCCATTTTCCAAGTTTAGGAACTTTTCCAAGTTGTTGAAGATGACGATGAACAGTTGTATGGTTTGAACTGAGAACCACTGCCAATTCCTCAACTGATAAAGCAGGATTTTCTTCAAGGGCTGCTTCAAGAAGCTTTTCATCAAACTCAACTGGACGTCCGGTTCGATCTTCATCTTCAAGGGTGAAATCTCCACCTCTGAATTTTGCAAACCATCTTCTGCAGGTTCTTTCATTCACACATCCTCTCCATAAACTGAGTGAATGTTGAATGTTTCTACCCGCTTCGGCTGCTGAGTTTCCTTTCTTGAACTCATAAAGCCTTATGTGCCTCAAATGATTCTTGGGTACTTCCATGTTAGCAGGGATTTAATTAAACAAAATTTAATTTTATTGTTCTCTGAAATAAAATTTGATGAGTTTAAATGCATCTAAACATAAAAATAATGTTCAGCTCCATTAGACATTATAAAATCCTCTTTAAATTTTGTTCATTTTAACAAAAAGTTAAAATTCGGACAGAACTTATGGGATGACCTGATATCTATCTTCCTCCCTGTTCTTTTCATGCATATATGCGTCTATCTTCCTTTTCTATCTATCTATCTATCTATCTATCTATCTATCTATCTATCTATCTATCTATCTATCTATCTATCTATCTATCCCAGTCTGTTCATATCTATCTCTATTTTCTATCTATCTATCTATCCATCTATCTATCATTCATCTATCATCTATCTATCCCAGTCTGTTCATATCTATCTCAGTGTGTTCATTTTCTATCTATCTATCTATCTATCTATCTATCTATCTATCTATCTATCTATCTATCTATCCCAGTCTGTTCATATCTATCTCAGTGTGTTCATTTTCTATCTATCTATCTATCTATCTATCTATCATTTTCATCTATCTATCTATCCCAGTCTGTTCATATTCATTTCAGTGTGTTCATCATTTTCTATCTATCTATCTATCTATCTATCTATCTATCCCAGTCTGTTCATATCTATCTCAGTGTGTTCATTTTCATTCATCTATCTATCTATCTATCTTCTATCTATCATCTATCTATCTATCTATCTATGATGATTAAGTTCATATCTAAATCTATCATCTATCTATAGGCTAATGTATCTTGATGATTGCTTAAACCATTATAGGCTAATGTTCTTGTTGGGTGATAACAATATAATAGTTTCCTAAGATCGTGATGATTTGAGTGCCACTAATATTTTATGCGAAAATGTTACCTGCGGACAGGCAAATTGATTAATTGACGCAAATTGAATTTTTGCCAAGTTAACCTTGTTATCAATAATAAAATGTCCAGGTAGAGAAAGGAAGAAATAAAAATGAAAATAATCTTCTTAATCTAATGAGAAGTTCTTCAGATTGTATTTTTTTCAAAAAGAGATATTTCTCTGTTTCTCTTTCGAAGCGAATAGCAAAACTCGAAAGGGGTTCATTCATTGCTTTTTCGTCTTATGTTGGGCAGGTCTTTCGAGTGTTTTAATCTTATTTTCTTTTCTTTTAAGAAACCATTTTCTGTCGACTTTGTTGATACCAGCACTTTGGGTTGATTCTTGTTGAGTTAAAAATGGAACATTCTCCAAGACAAACATCGAAGATATTTGAAATTTTCAGAAATCGTTTTAGTCGTAATTAAAATTAATTAACAGCAATTAAAATTAACGATGGTAGTTAATTCTGAATAAAAACCTATTTAAGGGTTTTTGAAGAATGTGTCTGTTAGCCATAACTTGTGCTGAATGTTACATGAAGTGTCATATGCAGAGATCTCTGAACGAATATCAATGTTACCAGAGTTGATTTTTACCTTGCTACGTAAGAACAAGACTACCCGCACAAGGCATGAAAAGACATGAAAACAGGGGAAAAACAAATATGTGTCAGTAGTGTAATAGTAATGTTAGATGTTTCCTTATAAGGAAACATTCAATATTCAGTGATCGAGCAGACGGTGTTATTGTCCGGTAAAAATTAAAAACTTTTTCTCTTAAAATAATTTTTCAGGAAAATAGGTTTCTCAAGGTCAGTATCTGTTATTGCTCTTTATATATTTTGAATTAATTAACCCCAAGAAAGGCGATAATGCCACTAAGACGCAATGGACTACAAGACATCATATTCGTAGGAGTTGTGTTTCTTGGACAGATAGCCTGACGGAGTCCAACCCTGTCCAGGCCTGTTTGGAATTCCAAATTACTTTCTCCTAGACAGATTGCCGCAGAAGGCTATAGAACACAGTCTCTCCTGATATTTACCGATAGCTGAATGCAAGGAATCGACTGAAATTCGAACTCGGCTCTCCGATTCCTCAATCCGAGCCGATATCCATTACGCCACACGTAAAGCCATTAAATGTACCCTTCAAAAGTTGTGACGTTATAAAACTTTCACTT